CCAAAAAAAACCCAGTTTCTGTTAGTGTTTAGAGCTTCTTTAACCGCAGTTTTTATTTTGACAAAAAAAAATATCCTTCCAAAATACCAAGGCAACGTTAATCTATTTCAAATATAGGAAAAGCACGTCAAATAAACCAAGTGTCACAGGTAGAGATCAATGGAGGAATTCTAAATGGATATGTAATTAGGATTCCAAAGGAATTAATAGCATTGTAACCGAAGGAGTCCTGGCCAGGTTATCAATTATTTGAGTAAAGTAGGTAAAATTATCTGGATGGAAATGCTTCTAAGCAGGATCTCTTCAGTAGTTCAGCATTTCAAGAGGTGAAGAACAAACCACCAAAACAGGAATCTTAAAAAAGTAAAACAAAACAAACATACAAGAAATAACTAAAACATTACTTTTTTTTATTAAAGGTGTTGGGTGGTTGTGGCCATTTTTAGACTTTTTTGATCTCCTTTAGAAGAAGAGCTCCATATAAAGATATCGTAAAATGATCAAATTTTAAAACTGAAATTTATGAAATCTTTCTTTGCCAAGTGATACATGTAGCTGACAGCTTGAGATACCATATCTTTAAAAAATAAGTTATATTTGGTGGTTTATTTTGTTGACCCCTAGCCTCCTTAATTCAAACCATATCGATTGCTAGCGCTCTCGTTGACAGAAGCGACAAACAGAAATAAAATGCATACCATCGTATATATTGATCATTTATCTTCAGGATCAGATTATAATCAATGATTATCAAAAGAAAAAGATGAAAATAACAAACAATGATCAATCTTTAATAAATCTCTTTGTCAAAAGAGCATATAAATATAAATATATTTTTTCCTTTCATATTTTAGCTCCCCTTGAGGCCAGTTTAGATTGTTAATATAGTAAATTCCTGTATGTGGTTTGTTCTCACTTGGTTTACCAGTGTACACACTTTCAGATCAGCTATGAATACGTACATACATGTACAAGTAGTAATATTGAATTCGACCTTGCATTGAGAAGAAAAATTACACATTAAAAACTAATTTTAATAAAGAAAAATTTTGAAATTACAACAAAAAATTAAAATGATGCTAAAAATTCTATACCGGGTATTAAATTCTATTCTATATTAATAGAAACACAAAAAAAATTACATTTACCACAGGAGAGACCTCATGTCAAAATGTGTTGTGAGCATCGCGAGACATTAGCTATACCTAATCTCAATGATCAGCCATACAGTCTGCAACTACCCCCAAAACACACCCTAAAATCACAAAGTCGCAGATACACCTTAAGACAAACAAACATAATTAAGCAAAAATCTCAAAGACACCATAGCTATCAACAAGACACTGTATTACTTTTAGTTAGACACAGGCTAAAGTCACCAAGACACCATAGCTATCAACAAGACACTGTATTACTTTTAGTTAGACACAAGCTAGAGTCACCAAGGCACCATAGATACATGTAGTCACAAAGACACTAGAGTTATAGGTCCCTGAGCTGAGTGGTCTCGCTAACAATTCTGTTGTTTCTCGACTCAGCCCAGGCACCTTTCCCAAGTCACCTAACTCCGACAAAGAGTTACACCAAAAGTAAACGACGCTTGTTTGATCCTTATTCATACTATGTTTCATCTGTTGAACTTGTACTGATTGGTTAATAATTCTAATCATTTTGTTGGCAAAAATGTCAACTCTGATTGGCTAGTCACATAAAATGATTTGATTGGATGATTCAAAACCTATTTAAATCCACTTTCCTAATTTTGGTTTATTACAATATACTGTATATATATTTTCAAAACCTGTATATTTACTGTTCAAAATTAAAAAAAATCCATTCATTTTTTTTTATAAGTTATAAAAATCACTAATGAAAACTATGTATAGTATGAAAAATAATACCAAACAGAGCATGTGCTGCAGCACGTGGCTATAGCCACTTCCTGTGTAAACAAAACACCGTCTGGTTAATTATCTCTGCCTACTTTGTCAATCACTGAGAAGAACTTCAAAATTCAATGCAGCTTCATAACTTTATTCATAAATTACTCAAGATGTATATTTTTTTCAACTATGTACAATCAAGGTGGCTACTTCCACGCCAAAGATAAGAATTTAATATGATCATAAAATGCATATTTTCTCAAAAATGCTTCCCAAATAAATCTGAAAGCTGCATAGAAAGTTGAATTTCCCCAACATTTTTCGATTGGCTGCCTTTTATATCCGGGTCCCAGCCTTTAATGCCTTTAGGTGTCATAACAGTATTTCACTTGGGTTCACGTCAAATAATGGCTGACGCAAAATAATCCCGGAATCTTGCCTTCCGATTCGGGCATTTTGATGCGAGAATGGAGGTGATTTTTTTTATGAGATGAAAAACAACATGTAAACTTCCTGTATTGACCAGATTTATTAAAATTTAGGGCGTGCTGATTTTTCTATATACTGTCAAGAGTGGGGAGTGATTATAATAGGCCCTTGACTAGATTATCAAGCATCTGCTCAATTTGTGTTGAAACAAAGAGCGTGTAAAGCGATGGCTATGTATTTTGTGGTACTAAAATCTTTATAAAGAATAGTTTAACAAGAAAACAGCATAAACATTCGCCAGAAATTTGTTTTGAATTTTTTCCTCAAATTGATCGTTTTTTTCATAATATATAGCAGAAATTAATATGATAAAGTAATCTTATTTTGAATATTATATTTCGTTCAAAGTAAAACTAAATTATAAAGAACCTCAAAATTTTTTGGTAATGGAACTCATTTTTAGTGTAGCGTCATGCACTCGACAACTCTACATACTGACGGCAAGTGGTAAATCTAAGGGACTTCCCGACGCCCGACGGTCCCGGATATTTTAAAAATTTCAAAGTTTTTTACAAGTGCACAGAATTTATTCAAACTTTTCATGAACATTTTCTTGGTTTAAATGCAATTCATTAATGCATAAAAACTTTAGGAAACATGAGTATTTATTACTAAATCAGCAGTATCACCTGCCAAAAGCGGTAAATCTAGTACCCTGTTATAAATGTTAAGACAAAAAACGGACACCGATGTTTTCGTAAAATCGCGATTAAAAACAACAAAATGAAGTATATTATTTTCTAATAAAAGGAAAATTTTTATATATTTGAAAGATAATTTGTACACACACAAATTCTCACATATACCGCTGGTTTTATGTTTGGTCATTAAATATTTCTTTTTAACTTGGTTTTGCTTTTTTCTTAACAATATTAAAAAAGATTAAGTTCTGACGTACTCCATGTATAACGTTCGTGTAATCTAAATACATTTATATTCAGAGAAGTTTTATATAACAAACCTGTTAGCTCTTAAAAGGATGCTGTGTGAAAATCCACATTTTATCAACATTGATATTATTCCTGAGAAACTGAAATTTTCATAACACTTGGGTAAAGGTGCCTAGGGAAAATATATTACAAATTTGAAGACCGTGAGCAGTAAATTATATGAATGATCAACCGCCTCTAATATGAATATAATGGCAGTGTCCATGTTTTGCAATGGGAAATCCAAAATATGTGTAGGATGAAAAAGTAATAGAAGGTGCACAACGGCAATATGTAATAGAGATTCTATGAAAATTTCGTTCAGTGGTGTAAGAGAAGTTGCGGATAAGAGATGGGTATACCTAAAGCGTAACAAACAGATGGACAGAAATCCCGATTAATAAATACCCTCCCGCTTTTTCAAGCAGGGAGTATAAAAAAGGACTAATGTAGGCAGGCAAGCATTATGGCCCATGCATTTTTTTGCTGTTCAATGTCTCTGAATGTCTTTCTCAAGATTGTTGCAACTCAAAAAATCTAAAACAGTTGTCTGTATTTGAAATAATAATATTGTTCACTTAACCTCCCGATCAAAGATTTTATTTTACACCATGTTCAACTCCCATGAGTGCTTTCAGTACTTTGATTCTATATACTGTCAAGAGTGGGCAGTGATTAGGCCCTAGACTAGAATTTCAAGCACCTGCTCGACTTCGACCGAAACAAACCTACGTGCCTTGCTGGATGGCTATGTAGTTTTTGGTACTAAAATCTTTATGATGCTTTTACAAGATCTCAAAATGAAACCTCTCAGAAGTTTGTTTTGAATTCATTACATCTACTCAAACTTGCTCATTTTTGGTAAGAATATATAGCAGAAATTAATACTGTTGTGCAACCTGCATGTTTCTTCTTCGTTTTCCGCCCAAGTATTGCGATAGTATTACATGAATCACTGGTGATGTCATAAAAGAATATCTACGAGATTAATATTTTTCTTTCATTTAAAAGCATTGCACCACATATTAACGTCTCTCTCGAGGATTTTTCACTCATATGGACATGATGGAGACGAGAGCAATGGCAAAAAAAAAATATGGAGGGGGAATCATCCTAAAACACTAAAGCCTCCCCCGCATGTAGACGGGCGTCTTGGAGTGCTTTAAATTACAAGTTTAAGTGACAATAAAGCTAACACAATATTATATTTCAAATCGAATGATTTCTCTGGATTTCAGAGTATATGGTACATGTATAATTTTCCTCCATCCATCATTAATTTCATGATATATCTGCAATTCTACAATCCTTGTAGTTGTTCCCAATCTATTCAAGGGGGAATTATTGATAGCAATGATGAATCACAATGCCAAGATTCTTGTAAATCGTCTTTGTGGTATTAATCCAAATTAAGATAAACAATGAACCAGTGCTTCTTCGAAAGATTCAATTTTACGTATATATAAACATAAGATTTTTTCCAAGCATTAATGAGTTTTGAGGAATTGATTCAGATTTTAATTATCAAATGTCTTTCTACATCCTCTATTGGTCAACGGATGTATAATAGTACAGTAATTAACATTCCAATAGCATATATAGTTCTGGAATGTAACTTGCCTTAACTTTGTTGATTTTATAAATATTTTTCATAGCTAATCATACAATATAAGTATTGATGCCTGAAAAACAGGAATTCCTCCCTACACTGCTAACAGTTTTTCGATTCTCTGATGTATCGAGCTAAGTATATGCACTTGGCTTTATCATTTTCTCGATATAATGGGTCGATCGCTTGTCCATCGTTTGCAGGCATAATAAATTTGCTTCGTGAATAGGAGCCACACATATTCCTCCAGGGCGCCATCTAGTGATGAACAGCCGAATGACCTGCTCTTGTTTGCTACTAACGGACAATAAGTAATATTTACTCTACGGACCATCGCCTAAAACCTCAATAATGAAGTTAGTTGCATGTTTCAGCTTCATTTGTGTGTGTGCCATTTCATTAAGTGGAAAAGCTACAGGTAAGATTGTTGAAATTTTTAGTTTTATTTGTGCGTTAATCTTCTTACAATAAACATGGGCGCCTTGTAAGTTCATGCTAACCATATCTGTGGATTGCATTAGAAAAAAGTATTGAAGATTTTTTAAAGTTTCCTTAATTCTGTATTCAAAATGATAATACGAGATTTGTATTGATCTCCATTGATAATTGATTTGTGGCCACACAACATTTCATGCGCAAAGATCAGAGAGGGGTTAGTAGGTCAACATCTGCACTCTAAAGGAAAACACACACGCCCGTAAAGGTGTGTAGCAAGATAGCTTTTATTCTTAAAACGTATGAAATAAATAAATAACATAAAAGCGTATGACTGAAAATTCTGAAATTTTGAAAGCTCTCATTACATAAAGTTCAGTTAAATCCTAATGACAGATACTCATTTTCAAACGAGTAGTTCTATTGAAATAGGAAAATATGCGAGAAATACATTGAAGATATCAACATCGCATATTTGATAATAAGAAAAAAGTAAAGGTTAAGAAATAATTTTGAATTATAAATTATAATGATTTTTTTTAAAATTGAATTCTAAACATTCTAAAAGGGAAGGGGTTTCTTCCTCGTACACATATATAAATATGTTTCGGAATTCGGAGAGTCCCCTTCAACAGCGTTTAATATGATGGATGGGCATTATCATGGAATGACTACTTAATGCAGGTAATGTAAGGTGACTCTGACAATCAATGGTGAATATCCCTCAAAGAAATTACCCTCGAGATCTTCATGCCCTAGTTCAATGTAAAAGTAAACCAACGTGCCCAATGATGAAATGCCAAGGAAAACTACAGCATTATTCAAGTGACATTTGTATATATCCTGAAATATATGAAATGTATGAAATGTTTAGATTTTGTTGTATATTGCAGGCCTGAGTGAAATATATGAAATGGTTGGGTTTTATTGTATATTGCAGGCCTGTGTGAAATACAAATGTATATGAAGTGTTTAATAGGTTTTGTTGTATATTGCAGGCCTGAGTGACATCTTCTGCCCGCCTGATTATCATCACTGCGATGGCACGCTGTACTGCTGTCCATCTGGTTACATTTGTATAGGGTCATCCACATGTCTTCACCTAGCGTAAGTTACAGCATATCCCCAGGGAGTGTTTGTGTATTTAGTTACATCGTATCCCAAGGGCGCGTCAGGAAAAATTGGTTAAAGAGAACCTCTGTATGCATGTGTGTGTTAATATTTAAATAATTAATGAGAAAACTTTTTATATAATATTTATCAGTTTGTGCATCTTTGTTAGATGAACTTATTTTAAACCATGTATTTTTATCTTTTCAACACATGGTTACTTAGACATGCTTCGTTAAGCCGTTTTTGCCCATCTCTAACACATGTTTGAAATAAATGATCTGTTCATCCGCTTGTACATGTAAGCCTGAGGACAAATGGATTTTTTTTTGTCGTTCTATTGTTTCCCTCTATAGTTGAACTACTAGTAAATGAAAAAAAATATTAATGAGTCTATAATTCATAATAATAAAAATTTACAGATTGAATTTTATTTATTTTCAAGGAGTCTTGTTCATTAAAATATTTACGAATTCTCGAAAGTGACAGTATAGCCCACCTCTTCCGATCGAAAGCTTCCACCAAAGTACTCTTTCACGTAAAATATATCTATAATCTAACATTAATACATTCTTTTAAAGAATTATTTTTGTGTGGATCGATTATTTTGGGATTTTCCCGATTTATTTCTATGGTACACAGGTAAAATAAATACAATAAGTATAATTTGGGAAAAAAAAGGTCCAACAAGTCTCCAGGGGAGAGAGGGGGTGGTGGTCGTCCTGTCCACAAGTAAATGTGACTGATCCAAGGACAATTGCAAATTGTAGATATTTTTAGTCGTACTCTGCATTTTTTTTATTCAATTACTGGTATGCAGAATTTAAGCTGTTGACTTATAGCGATACGTATAGGGCAATTCAAGTTACAAAACATTTATCAAAAGATATCTTTAAGCAACAACCAAAGAAAAATCTTTTTGCATGTGATCTGTGATGTGTCAAGTTTAAAGTATTCTATTTATTACTTTATTGCAGTGTCATTATCGGTCCTATCGTTGGCCTGGTGGTCCTCATAGCCTGTGTGGTCGTCTGCTGTATCTGCTGCAGTAAGTATCTGTCGTCTGCTAAATTAAGAATTAAACGTCTGCTGTTGTAAGTATCTGTCGCCTGCTGAACTAAGAATTCAAAGTATCTAATGTCTGCTGTATTAAGTATCTGTCGCCTGCTGTAGTAAGTATCTGTCGTCTGCTGAACTAAGTTGAACGTCTGTTGTTCACATAGTAAGTATCTAATGTCTGCTGCAGTAAGTTTCTGTCATCTGCTGTAACTGCTGTAGTAAGTATAGACGTGGTCTGTGAGTTATCTGCTGTATTAAATTGTATAATGGAATTAAATCTCATTTCTCTTTTTTCAGGACGAAGACGGTCAACGCCTGGTGTGGTATACAGTCCTACACCCCAGGGATAAATGTAAACATGTGTGTTAGTTAATATGTATGCAAAACAAGACTTTGTAGGAATTTATGTATTTACTAAATGTGATCTTGCCTTTCTTATTATACCTTTTAGATAAGACTCTATACATGTATTTCTAGCTGACTTTTGTAGCTATCAGCTTAACTGATCAAAGTTCCTGACATCTATATGCATATTGTATCTATACAATATTCGGTTTCTCAATATTTTCGTCCGATTTGTGTATGGTGAATGTGTAAGAATTATGTTTCCTTTTGGTATTGTTGCGCATGCTTTTGCCTTATCATTGAATGGCAGGTGAGCGTAATGGCCTTTTTACTTATTTTTATATTTTTATTTGGTGCTATATACATTCATGCGGGTGATTAATTGATTGAATTCAACCAATTATTTAACTTTTGGAAATTTACATTAGTGCAAAAATACGATGTTTAGCATCAGTTTTGATGGAAGTGCTTAATAAAATGTATTTTCTTTTAAATTTGTCAAAATCAAAGTAATTTTCTAATATTATACATAATGAAGAGATTGTTATAACCTTTTATTTGAATATTTGTCATAAATTCAATATACTTATGGAAGGCATTTATATCTATATTTTTTGATTTTCTTTCTAGACTTGTGTTCTTTTTCAAACATTAAACGATTAATAGTAAAACCTTTAATTAATATCAGTAGAGTATTTCTTTTATAAATTTGAACTTATTGCATAGCATTGATGACATTTGTAAATGAAATATAACAATTATTTGTATTTTCAAAATTTACTACATGTAGTTTTCAATTTTTATTATTAAATTTAAGAATCTAAAAGGAAATAAATCTCATTTTGTGCTATTAAATCTCGTAAAACATAAAATCTCTCACTCTTAAATAGGCGTGTATGTGATAAGTAAAAAATAGCAAATTATACATATATAGTTCTTTGTCAAACATCCATACTCAGTTTGATAATATCTACTGCATCACAATTAGCTTTACCTTGAAAATGTGATGTAGACAGCCAAATATTTCTATCATTAGTCAATAACCATTTCATAACAATTCAAAGATTTGCTTCCCCGTCTCATCTGCTCTCTTATGTAAGCCACAGTAGTGGTATTGTCTGTAAACATAAAGATTGCCTAGGCAAAGAGATAAAAGGGCAATATAAACAGCTTTAATGAATTCTCCTAACTAAGGACCTCCTGCTGATATTTCAAGAGGCTTGTAATTATAGCCTGAACCCAAATGACTCTCATCTGTTTCAATTAATTTACAATGTCAATTTGACCCCCTAGTTTTTGCTACCACAGCCACAGGGATATTACATAACCACCAGTGGATATCGATAAGTACTTAATCAGAAATAGTCCAAAATATGATTATCTATCAGACGTTTTCATGGCTTTTTTACGAGTTTGATATTTTACGTGCCAGGAAAAATTAGAACCTGCGCCATTACAAATAACTGGAAATCTCCAAATTGAGATGACTTTCGACACTAAATACCAAACTTGTAATTTATCCCTAGCACAACGCATCTAGTATCATCAATTACTAGTATTGATGAAAAGAAAACATCACTCCCGCATTTCGATACAGAAATTGGAAAATTCAAGAATGCATGAGATGAAAACTACAAATCTCGACAGTCAGATAAGAAGTTTTCATTATATTGTATATTTTATAAACAAATCATAAATTGATGTTGATAAGTACCAAAAGTATTGTACATGTACTACTGATAAATAGTGAGTTCCTCATTTAATTTGGTTTGTATCGAAAATCAACCCGAGAATGCCACCTCCGGTTTGAGGCGGCGAAATCCCAGTTTTCGTAATGGCGCCGGTTCTGACGTTTTCCTGGCACGTTAAATATTAGTCCGAAAAATCTGACGTTTTCCTGGCTTTTTTACGATTTTGATATTTTACATGCCAAGAAAATGTCAGAACCGGCGCCATTACATGTACGTAAACTGGAATCGCCGCCTCGAACCGGAGGCGGCATTCTCGAGATGATTTTAGATACTTGCGAACTGAATTAAATTTCAAAGTCAAAAGTCAATAGTACAATACTTAAAGAACTTGCCAATATAGTTATTATGGTTCAATTTATGAAATAAATAATCCATTGAAAAAGGTTTCATCACACTGTCGCGATTTGTCTTCATTTCGTGCATTTTAAAATCTTGCATGTCCTGTTACGAAATGTGGAGTGATATTTTCTTTTCATCGATATTGGTGAGTACTAGAGGCATTGTGGTTTTGATAAATTCTGATTTCGGCATTTAGTTCTGTTCACAACTATCGAAAATGAACTCCAGTGGAAGATGACGAAATTTCCAGTTTTCGTAATGGCGCCGGTTCTGACGTTTTCCTGGCATGTAAAATATCAAAATCATAAAAAAGTCAGGAAAACGTAAGATTTTTCGGACTAGTTAAATATCAAAATCCCGAAAAGCCTGAAAAACCTCAGATATTTCGGACTTACTCAGAGCGTGTACCGGAAATCAACCTTCCCTACCCCTTAATGCATGATGCTTGTAACATTTCTAGTTGCCTGTTAAATTATTGACTATGTGGTACTGCAGGAGAATTTGATAGATACCAAGTTACCGATCAACGCTCTAAACTGTTTTATTCCAAACTTTCAGTACAAGTTCAATACAACTTTGATACATTTTTTTGCTACTTTACGCTCTTTTAGAGTAACCGACACTTCTTTTGAAATCAAAATAATGAAACCTATTTTTTGTTCCAAAATATCCAGTTTTTTCTTGTAAAAAGATATCAATATCGTCGGAAAGGCGAGAAGTTGCGACTGCAATATAATCAACAGATTGATGCTCACTTTTCCTCAAAAACGAAAGAATAGGTTAAAGGAGAGACGATGCGTTCCTTAAATTTGAAAAATATTCAAAATTTTACTAACATTTTCATTTCCTAACCCGTTTTTATTTGACTTTAAAATCGAAACATTGACATTTTTTTTTCAAATAAATGATATTGACAAGTGATTTTTTTTTCAAACAGGATTATATATAACAAACAGCATCCTCTAGTATCTTTCAAAGATGCCTGGTGAGGTATCTTTTTAGAGCAAACATGTTAAAGTAGCATTGCTCAAATGATAAAATCTTGGAGAAAATTACAATGAAGCGCATTGAAGTGGTAAAATTTTCCGTTTGGATGAAACGTCCTGAGTCATGTTTTGAACGTCAATTATAACAGAATGGCACGCCCATTTCTTTAGAAACGAACAAGAAATATTCGTCGTAACGATTTAGGACACTCCACTTTTTGCGACAAGCAACATGATTTACGCCGGAATGGAGATTTTTAAAGATATAAGAGAGATTTAGAGAGTTCCAGCTTCCGTAAAACATGTATTGCAACGAATTTGTACATAATTATGAATTTATCATGTTTATTGGAGTTTCCATAACACATGCATCAATTGGTCGAACACGTGCTTATTCTGTGTTTATGTAGACCGTCAATTTGATTGGCTATTATATTTGTGGAATATCTGTTCCAAATTTGACCGATTTTTCCTTTCTAAAGAAATGGGCGTGTCTTTGTATGACAATCAACGTTCTAAAGATAGCTCAAGACGTTCCAGTCAAACGGGAAATTTTACCACTTCAATGCGCTTCATTGTATATAATATTAATGAGGAACATATAATCAGCACTTTCGCAAATGAACGAGGATTCACATGGGACAAGGATGAAATATGCATCACTCTGAATGATGGTATTCTGCCACCTAAATCTGAACTGCAAATCTTCTAATGTTGTGGACTTGTTTATCAAACAAGGATCAATTAATAAAAGAATATCATGTCATCAATTTCAAATAAATCGTGGGGATCGGCAACTTTTATAAAAACATTTAATTTTACCTGAGCATGCTATTTTGTCACTGAAAGTTAGAATTCTCGAAAAGATTTATCACCATGCAAACTCCATCACTGAGTACACCTTTTCGTAGACAAAGAGAAAATTTTGGATAAAAAAAACTAGGGACAACCTTTTCTTATGGATATAATGATAATGTCGATAGTGTTGGAAATCTTTTCAGTCCACAGTGTAGCAATGTAAATGTGATTGGACATTTTATCTATACACATAGACATAAGTGCAATAATCTTTTAAGACACAATGCCTCTTTTGCTTCATTAATACCTTATGTAAATCAACAGTTATAGGCCTACATCATATTCGCAACAAATATTACTCTGTCCCTTGAAACTTTTAAATAGTCTTCTTGAAAAGATCAAGGAAAGCCCATTTTTTGAATCCTCGACACCAGAATAGGCTCTGATCTTCGATTATAGATATTGAAAATCATAGGTTTTTAACCCCCCCCCCCCACACACACACACACATTTTACTGAAGAAAATGCATCTTAATTAATTCGTCTTTTCCTTAAACTTCAATATGCCAATAAAGGAATTGACGTGATTAATATAATTAATATTCTTAATCACAAAGGGGTCCAGTCTTGTATTCCATTATATTTCAAGTTTAAGACTACACCTTCTCTTTCCTACAAATACCAGTACACATGAACTGTATATTGCTTCAAAACTTTATAATCATAAAAAAAAAAACTTTACCTAAAACATGGCCTGGATATCGAATATCTGAAAAAAATAATTCTCCATCGTGTTCATGTTCTTCTTCACCCTACTACTATAGTTCTGCTGGACACGCGCAGAAAAACGGAAATATGAGGTGACGGAAACATGGCTAAAAATTATAATCTTAGATCACTCATTTTAACAGGTCCTAGATAGAGAGAATCCCGATCCTTCAACTGGCGTCGGAATTTCATAAATATTATGGATTCTGTTGAAGATTACGCCAGGCGATGGGCCGAATATGAAAAAGAGGACTTTGACACTTTTTCAGAATGGATTACATGTATCAGATCCATGTTGAAATCGGGTACTAAATGACTGAGGGGCAATATGAAAAATACATCTATTCATCTGTATTCAGTAATCCAGAAGTGAAAAAAGAATAAGATTAAATGATAAGTACGCACTGTTTCCTCTGACAAAGTTTCCGTACTGAAACAACTAATATATGTGAAGAAGATTTTAGGAAAATCAAACTTCACTAAGTTTAATATGTTAAGCAACACATACATGATTGTATTAATACATCACGATGATAAAAGTACAATGAGGCTAGAAAGCGCTATATATCACGTGGTTGTGGAAAGACCTTCACAGTGATTCGAATAATTATAACCAACTTCAACTTCCAAATACTAGTAAGTAAGACTCGTATTGCTATTATTTCTTTATATTCAATGCCATGTTATAAATTAGGTTTTCAATTTATTTCCAACGAATGGATAAGGATAGAAGGGATTCACTCTGTTGATGTTACTACGATATAACATCTCGTATGGGTACGGAGTTTCTGGCTTAGATAGCGCGTCGAGCTTCTCCATCTATAAATAAAAGATTATGGAAATGTTGAGATGACACTTTGTACATTTGGAGAGGAAACAGAATAAAAGATGGAACTGTGCTTATTTTTTGGTCGTAGCAGAGTTCAAATGATGGATCCAGTAACTATGGTAATAAAAAAGTTACCTCTTCTTTTGAGAGTTTCCAGTTGATAGCTGCGACATTGTCTTCTAGTTGCTCAATAGAGTTGGCCCCAATAATGACAGAGGGTACCACATCCTTCTGAAGTAACCACCGGATAGCCACCTGTGGAATGGTCTTACCTAAGAAAGACAATTACAGAAAGTATTTTCTGTTTTATTAATCTCTTTTCCTTCTGTCGGATCCTACAGATAAGACCTTAAAATACTGTCGTCTTATCCGAGTTTGGCAAAATGCGGCATTATGAAAACATGCAATTGACATTTTACAGGATTATAAATCGAACGTCTAGGAATTACGTTCCCATTGGCATATCTTACACATGGCAAGCTATGCTGGAAAGTTGAAAGGGACAAATTGTAATAAACCAATAACAAACAATGAATTATGATTTACCATCTACATGTAAATTGTAAGTGTAGAAAAGAATTGTAGAGTTGGAATTTTGAAATCATTGGCTTTTCATATTTATTCAGGGACTCTTTCTTCAATGTGCATTTATTTTTACAAGAATTTTTATGATCAATATTCAGTAATTATACAATGACTATCCCATTAAAGGAGGATCGTCTTTTTAAATCGTGTAGCAAAAGTTTAAAAATCATAAGATAAAACATTAAAGTGATAGGAAATTGATAGAAAATACCATGTTCTTTGGCAATTTTCTCCATGGCTTCCATTAGTTTCCAGAAGGCCTCGTTATTGTCAAACTGACTCCAAGCGGGAGCAATTTGCATTGCCTTAAACTTGTCTTGAGCGACAAGCCCGATTCGCCCGTCTGCTACTTGGGGTTGCATTCCACGTTTGTATTTTCCTGTCAGCATTCCGCTAAGAAAGGAATTTTTTTACTTTTATCGCAAATACGGATCAAGATATAAGTATAACATGCAATAATCAGTTATTGACTCTTTACTTGAAAATTCATTGATGCCAATTGAAGACTCTCCCCATGATTTATGTAGCAATTTACTATATATCACTTCGATATGGCGTCTAAAAGTTGTTGATGAAAGGATATCAACTTTCAACGTTTGAAAATCATATGGTCAATACATGACGTTGGGAAGTAAAAGCTGTCTTCAAGTCAAATGTTAATTGACATCTTTTTATGCAAATTTTTAGGCCATTATTTTTATACGGCATTATTTACGGATTTTGTTCGTGATACAATCATGATAAGAGGCACACGGCGGGTGTGACCGTTCGACAGGGGATGCTTACTCCTTCACGACACCTAATACCAACTCTTTTCCAGAGAGCCCTGTTGGTTCTGCTCATAATTGTCAAAAATTCTTTGTTTCTAACTGAATTTTTATTTTTTGCAAATATAAACAAAGAATTAATAATTGTACATATATATCAAAAAAATATACAGTCATGTAATAATGCTTATTTTGTCACACTAAAAACGTGCTTGCTTAAAATGACGATGACTTGCAGATACAGCTTTGGTTTTATGTCAATTTACATATTCTTTAGGAGTTTTAAAGAAAACCTCCTAAATTGATTTTACAGGATTTAAGAATGCATAATTTTCGTATAAGAACTTAGACTCAAAATCAACAATATTTTCTTTTTTAATGTTTGTCATACAACCGTCAATTATTTTTAAAGAATGGTTTTACAGCGATGAAAGGAGCACCGATGAATTAAAATGAAATTCATGTCCAATTATATGTTTTTTAAAATTATTTGTAGCATTACATGCATGTTTTCTTTTATTTTTAAAAAAATGATATGCACTGAGTTATCTTCTACATCTCATATTTGATAAGATTTAACATAGGAAGAAAAAAAGAAACATTCAAACAAGTGTCAAAAAGGGTGTTAATATAGAATAGTTTACCCTTTTAATGGACTCCACGGTAAGACACCAATACCCTCATTCTTACAGACTTGAAATTCCTCAAACTCCGGATGTCGACAAAGTAAACTATACTGTTGCTTTAAAGAAGATAGACATACAACAACAGTTACCTTTCTTAAGCTAGTATTTGGGAAAACATTATGTTATCTTTAATAGCTTTTTGTTTCAAATTCTCTCTAAAGTTAACTTTTAATATATAGACACATTAAATCAACTTTACTTGACTGAAGAATCGATTATCGCAAAACTTATATGTCGAGTCGAATGACTTATTAAACCTGTATGCTCTTACACAATTCTTTACTGTGAATGTATAGTTTGTTTTATACATTTCTACCTGGAGACTAATGATTGGCGGATAATTCTCAAACTTGCAGAGATCCATGACCTTCTGAAGCTGCCAGCCACAAAGATTAGACACACCAATATATCGAACCTTACCAGAAGTGACCAAATCGTTGAGTGCCTTTAACCACTCCTCAGGTGGAGTAGCATTGTCCCAAATATGTACCTGTTAGAAAATTATTTCAAAAAATATTTATGATAAGACAACAATGACAGAAAGTCTTTCATCTTTTTGGCTTGACATATGTAATTTCATGCTTACAACAAGAAGTCATCATGAAATAGGTTAATTTCCTATAAAAAGTTTTAAAGACTAAAATGTTGAGGATTTATTGTATAATAAATAAAAAAAACATGAATTAAAAAAAAGCCAATCTTTGCTTTTATTTCTTAAACTATGGTTAGAAAAGTAGTAACCACTGTGAAGAAATCAAATACAGGGGCCAGTAAAAGTATTTCATTCTAGAAAAAGTTATAATGAACAGATCAATTTAAAAAATTCAATATAATAAATTGTTCTTATACTTAGAACAAACATATTTTTTTAAAATAGAAAAAAAATATTAATATTGAAATCTATCTAACTGTGTCACCCTGGTTCCTGTAAAATTATTCAACTTGAAGGATTTTTTTCTCATTTATTTGCCACGGACAAGGCTGTTTTAAGAAAGAAACGTAAACATCATCTCAGCAAAGTTTGGGTACAGACTAACCTTCATCTGGAAAATGAAGCACTTTCTTTAACAAGTATTTGTAGATATCATGAAATGTATGGTGATAACGAAAAGTATTCAAGCACAACGGTAAAAAAAACTATACAAAATATGAGCGAAGCAAACACGGACCTCCAAATCATCAGAGGAGTGCAATGGAGGAGTGAGCATCCCCTGCCGACGTCACACCAGCCGTGTGCTCCTTGTCATGATCGGGAAATAAAGGAAATACCGCTATCCGTCGTCAATTCAGTGTAACTGCAAGACCATTGTTTTGACAATAAATTGAGAACACGGGTTTGACAGGTCGATAAGGGATGCTCACTCCTCAATGGCACCTGATCATAACTCTCTCATGTTTTAGAAGTCCGTGTTTGCTTTGCTCTTGATTCAGATTGTTTAAATGGATTTTGAGTATGCTTACTGTATGTTCCCTATTTTCTTTGTATATTTGTTTTTCATTTATAAACAAAAGACAGATTATAATATCTAAATTTACTTGCAGCCATACCAACTGAATAACTACACTTAACTTTATATCTTAATATCTCAAAAATTGTTTTTGTTTTAAAAATACTAACATTTAATATCCTTATTGAAGCTAATATGGTTATGAATTTCTGATACTAATTTTGAAGACTTTACGTTTAATTCGAATTTGCTAATATGGTTATGAATTTCTGATACTAATTTTGAGATTGCGTTATTGGAGGAAGTTTCCAGTAACCTGATAGAGATCTATGTAGTCCGTCTGTAGACGTTTAAGGCTGGCGTCACAGCTCGCCATGATGTGTTTCCTTCCTAACCCGACGTTATTTACATCATCTCCCATGTCAAATCCAACCTTTGTGGCTATCACAAATTTCTCTCTTTTCTGTCTGTAAAAAGAAGAATTAACATTTATATTATCTTTCAAACTACTAGTATATAAGATTTACATGACTTATTCATTGCTGACAACTGTGGAATCAGTAGATTTCGGGGTGACTCATTTTCGGGGAATTATTGGGCACCCTCATACACGAATTAACATTTTCCACGAATTTTTGCTATAAAATCATATTTTCTTTTGTAGGTATAAGAGAATACACCAAATTACGTCCCCACAAAACTCTAAAATTTCAGTAAAATAAAAATTGGCCCCTAGAAATTTAATAATTCTTTAGACAGGATATTTAAGAATACATGACATTGTTCTGCATTCATATAGATTGATCATGTAAATTTTGAATTGAGGTAAATGCAAAAACTTATAACATAAATGTGTGACTATGAAGCTGTAAACTGCATTGTAATATGTTAATTTGTTATTCTTTCAGAGGATCTGAATCTTTTAATGTTAAATAATTTTGGAATCTCAATGACTTAGAACGAAAGATTTTGTGTCATATTTATTCTAAATGTAAACTTGTGAAATAGTATGGTATGCATTGTAAACTTTATAGAAATGTAAAAAAAAAAAAAAAAAGATTGCTTTTCCGACCCACATTTTAATTTTTTGTGGTGGGAAATCAACTTTAGACATTTAGAAATTCATTCGCATTTTAATTTTGTTTTAGTTCTATCAACACAATGAAATCGTAAGTCAACTGCTATTTACCTTGAACAAACTTCAATCTACTCTACTTAGCATGCCAAGTCGTTTCCATGCATTTATTAATGTACGTAACATGGTTTGGATTAAAGAGACTCGAATATAAGTATTGTGTTTATATAATGTTAGCTAAATTACTCACCGTACCAACCACTCGCCAATTATACTCTCAGAAACGCCTTTAGAGTAGAGGTTTGCGGTATCTATAAAATTTCCACCGAGAGCAGCAAACCGGTCTAGGACTTTATGTGATGCATCTTTGTCCAACTTCCCTATCTGTAAATGATAATTCATTCAGATGAACGTTATTTTTGTTTAAGAAAAATTAATATTTTAAGAAAGTTATAAATTTAAATCATACTAACTAATTTTTAAAACAACGACTACTTATCAGCTGCAATTTCAAAAAAAAAATATTTCTTTTCGGAAGTGGAATCTTTATTATATGGTTCATATCAAAACAATTGTAACTCTGCTGTGTTTTCATATGGAAAAACAGAATAAAAATTTATCAAAAAAGAAAATATTAAATTATGAACTGGTTTTATAAAAAAAAAAAAAAAAATAGAAATCGGGCTATAAATATGAAACTTTTTGCTGCATTATGTATTCAAGCAAGTTGCATATCTCAACTGTGAGCGGTTGAAATCATTTTATTTATCAAGTATATCATAGTCTGTATAATTTTTCTGAATATTTCAACGGAATGCATAAAATGTATAAATGAGCATCTGCAAACAGCTTATAGATTGAAGGCCGAGAGAAGCCTCCATAATTTTTGATGTTATCAACATTTCGGACAATTTCACGAAAAATCATCTTTCAGGGAAAGATCGATGTATTTTGAGAAAATTATTATGATAACCTTTTATACTTACAGACCATGGTATTTGTTCGTGATAACTGGAGAAGGGTTTCATGAAGATGGAAAAACAATGTTAAATACCGACCTGTTGATGACCAAAGGTCATAGTCCCCAAACAAATATTGGACACACGTAGTCCCGAGCGGCCGAGGTAATTGTACTCCATGTCTGATGCTTCTTAAGACCAGGACTACGAACTTATTTTCTTTTTTTCAGGATTAATGACGAGTTGCAATGTGGTAGGTCCTTAATACATATATGCTTATCATATGTAAGGCACCCCATATTTAATCTTATCGTCCTATGGTGATCCATTTGCTTACTGATATATCTCAGGTAGAAAGTTTTACATCGTTTTCACAGTGTCGAGTAGGATTTTGTTTTAACTCCGTAAATCCAAAAGGTGAAGTGTGCAACGAAATAGTATGACCCTGCAAATCTACTGTAAAGAACACACTACAAAAGCGAGGAGGAATCATGTCCTGTTCCCTAATACATCCGTCAAGACCCCCACCCCCAGTGATACGGTAAATTCGGATACTCGATGTCAAAATAAGTTGTTAAAAAAGCAATGTTCTTACCATTGCCCTCGCAATAACCATGTTACTTCTAAATGCTGTGATGATTCTAGAGTTTTACTCTTGCAATGTCTATGTGATCTTAATAATACTAAATGTTTTCCTTAAATACTGCACCAATGGAACAGAATTTATTCTAAACTTTTGTATGGGAAGAAAACTATTAAACTCCACATAAAAGACTCAACAAATCAAACTTCTTGTCTCACTTTAATATAGCTCCCTACATGTATTTTCTTTCTTTCTTAAAATGTTTTTTGTATTCGCAGAAAATATGAAGAACTCCAGCTTTCAACTCAAGCTATATCGTATTTATTTGTTCACATCTCTTCATATGCATGTACAGGTAATAATGCATTTCTATACATATTTATAATTTGTTCTCAACATATGGGCGAGGATAGAAGGAATTCACTCTGTTGATGTTCAAGCGATATAACATCTCGTATGGGTACGGAGTTTCTGGTTTGGATAACGTGTCGAGCTCCTCCATCTACGAATAAAAAGATACAGGAAACGTTGAGATGACAATTACAAAAAAAAAAAGAAAAAGAAAAAAAAGAAAACGAAAAAAGGTAATGTTACTTTTATGGGGAAACGCATCGAAATAAATTAGTTAGTACCATATGAAACAAATATTAATTTTGCAAATACTTTTTCTTTTATTTTTTGTCAGTAAGGAACATATATATAATTCGATATCAAAGGTTAAGTATCTCACCAGCATGTGCGGGAGAATAACAATGAAAAAAGTGGGCAAGGAAATAAAAAAAAAATACAGAAGAGCTTTTGATGAAGATTGTATAAAAAAAAACCTTTTCCCCATTTTTCTTAGATCACAGTGATAACAGACGTCAGGCAAAAATACTGGGTATACGAAGACAAATGATGAATTGAATGTGCAACAATAAAATACACCTGCTGACATTATAGAATAATTGGAATTCAGTATATTCTCCTCCCCCTATTTTTCGTATACAATTCCTAAAATTAAATTATCCAAACAAGTTAAAAGAAATATATAGTTATGATATCTTTTGGTTTAAAACTGTTTTAGCTATACCTATGTTAGTTCAGATTCCATTTCTTTATAAAGAAAGCAAAATATTTTATTGCGTCACACAGAGAGAGAGAGAGAGAGAGAGAGAGAGAGAGAGAGAGAGAGAGAGAGAGAGAGAGAGAGAGAGAGAGAGGACAATGTGTAAGAGTTTGAGAATTAATCTGTATGAGTGAGAGTGAGGATGTGTTTGAATTTTAGAGCTTCTGTAAAGAATGGTTTGTTATAACTACAGGATATCCACTTACGAGATGAATAAAAAAGTTGTATTTACTCATTTTGCTTGACTTTTTTGAGAACTAACTTTACCTCTTCTTTTGAAAGTTTCCAGTTAATAGCCGCGACATTGTCTTCTAGGTGCTCAATAGAGTTGGCTCCGATGATGACAGAGGGAACCACATCCTTCTGAAGTAACCACCGGATAGCCACCTGAGGTATGGACTTGCCTGAGAAAAATTACAGTGTGTTCTATTTTTATCATTTTCTTCATTAGCAAGTAAATGTTTGTTTGAAAACTTGACTTCTAAATGTCATTTTCAATCATTGGCTCAAACATTCATCTTTCTTGTTGCGTTGCGTATATGGATCACGATAAAGCACGAGAAATTGTGCGCTTGTTTTAATAATTTATGATTTAAATTCTGCACTGACGTTTGTCTCTTGAGGAACACGAATATACTTACTTTGATCTATAATTTTAAGATTATCTTGAATTGCCATGTGATTGTCAGGTTATTTATCCTAGACCAAGCTTATTTCGGTGTTTGAGAGAGGAATGAATGACAACTCTGCATGTGATATCGCCTGAATGTGTATACTTTCCATTGAATAACTTAGTGCTCACAAGCTAACTATAGAGGATTTTACTATGGAACTTTATTCTAGATTCTTGTTGAAGATTTTGATTTTACATTTTTCTTAAAATGCATACAAATGAGATACAAAAAAAAAAACGATTTCATTATCAAATAGTGCAGAAAATTGCTTAGTGTACGCTTAATTAAGCTATGTTGTTTACACTAATTGAGTACCATGTTCTTTGGCAATCTTCTCCATTCCTTCCAGTAGTTTCCAGAAGGCCTCATTATTGTCATATCTACTCCAAGCTGGAGCAATCTCTATTGCTCTGGATTCGTCTTGGGCAACGAGCCCGATTCGCCCAGCGCCCATGGGCGGCCGTACCCCACGCTTATATTTACCCGTCAGCATTCCACTATGAAAGGAAATTTATACAAATTAATCATTTGTGGTAAGAAAATTTTTATATGTTACAAAGAGAACTATCAATATTTTAATAATCATTTGTGAAAATCGACATACATGTAATTCAATTTAATAAATCTCTTCTTAAAATCACAATGATTTATGTTGATTAATATTTTAAGCGTTAAATATTCGGGTCATATTATACATAGGGCAAAACATATGCTTATACAGGTTTTCAATTGCTAATAAATTTATCTTATTGATCATCTGAAAATGTTTTATCCTTTGAATCAACTATTGATACTTGTTCTTATACCGGTACTACTTTTCTTCTGAAAATGTAAGGAAAAAATGCCTGATGATTAGATTTAATTTTAGACCTTGCAAGAGCTTTGAGCCACTGATATTTTGAATTAAAGATTTTTACTCAAAATCAGCAGTTTTAAAAGTCAGCCATCTTCAAATTGGTATGTCATGGTTATGGAATAAGCAAAACAACGGTCCAATATTGAACTAAACCATTGCATTTAGTTGATGACGCATTTCGCTGCGCTTCATTGTTGTAATATGCACTTACATGTAACAGTTTGTTAATCACTAACATTTTAAAGTGGAAATATGGAGATAACAAACCAAGTTCAAAAGTCCACTGAATTAATACAGATCGGAAGCAGAGCAAACATTTGCCTCTAATTCATCAGAGATGAGATCAAGTGCTATGGAGTAGTAAGCATCCACTCGGAGTTCCTCGGATGACTAGTACCTCGCACATAACCTCGAACGTCAACGGTGATATACCATGTAATCTTATTTGAATTTCTTTCAAATGTCATACACTTGAAATCGGAGTTATTTTGTGGCACACTCAACAGTTTTTTCTTGCTTTCAAAGCCTATTAACATGAGGATGTAATCAAAACCTGTTTATGATAAAGAATTGCACAAATTAAGAAACGTTTTCGAAGAACGTTATGCAGAGCGAAATATGAAATGAGTGATAAGGCAGTTTCCGGCGGAGAAATGTAAGGATATGTTGCGTATTCCTCCACTAATCACATCCGACTCGAACGTCAACGGTGATCTACCATCTTGCTGATTCAGTCATGTGATCTTATTTGAATTTCTTTCAAATGTCATACACTTGAAATCGGAGTTATTTTGTGGCACACTCAACAGTTTTTTCTTGCTTTCAAAGCCTATTAACATGAGGATGTAATCAAAACCTGTTTACGATAAAGAATTGCACAAATTAAGAAACGTTTTCGAAGAACGTTATGCAGAGCGAAATATGAAATGAGTGATAAGGCAGTTTCCGGCGGAGAAATGTAAGGATCTGTTGCGTATTCCTCCACTAATCACATCCGAGGTTTGAATGGAGCGTAGCGGAGTCAGCCGAGGATTTCCGATTGGTAAGCATCAACTAGTGTGATTTTTCAATTGATTGAGATATTATTTTATGGGTAAATGAAATGGTAAGAAAAGAAAAGAAAACATCCAGTTAGTAAAAAAGGACTGCTATAAATATATTTACCCTTTTAATGGGCTCCATGGCAACACACCAAGACCCTCATTCTTACAGACTTGAAATTCCTCAAACTCCGGATGACGACAAAGTAAACTATATTGTTGCTTAGAAGTGATGAAAAGACGATAGCTGTTTACATTCAAACAACAAAATACATGTACAGTTGGTTTTAAAAATTAAATTACGTGTACCTGTATATCAACCATATTTTTTTAAAATGTTTTTCTTCCTTAAATGTTTTAAATTGTTTAATTGTAAACTCTTTACAAAAAGGAGAATGTAAATAGATGTATTTCAGTCATTTGAATAACAAAATGTTTTTCTATGATTTCTTCAAAGAAAAATGGAACGCAGATACATTATTCTCTATGATGGTCTTGTTTGTTTTCATCATACCTGGAGACTGATTATTGGCGGGTAATTTCTAGACTTGCAGATATCCACGACCTTCTGAAGCTGCCAGCCACAAAGATTAGACATACCAATATATCGCACCTTACCGGAAGTGACCAAATCGTTGAGCGCCTTCAACCACTCCTCAGGAGGAGTAGCATCGTCCCAGTGGTGCACCTATTGAACCAAAATAATTAAAATATTCATCCAAAACCATTAAAATAAATAAATTCAAAATTGAAAATAAAATAGCACCTTACTGAAATTTCATAGTCGTTTCGAGAGTATGCTTTATATATGAAGAATTTCTAAAACGATGTAGGTTATTGACAAACAAGTTGATGAAACAAGGATTTCAACAGTCTCGTTGATAGTCATCATTTTGGAAGTCTCTAGTTGCGTTAAAACTAAATTTTACATCTTTATTGTACAGACAGTATTCAAAGTGTAATGACTGTTACTTCATTAAGATATATACAAAAAATAAGGAATGGTGTTCTTGTAAGATTCCAATTATTTATCTTTTTAATATAGTGTATTATTCTAATTCCGTAATTCTAGATGACGTGAACATTTTAATATCATCTTAAAGATGATCCTTTTAACCTTTTATCAAATTTTATTATAATGGTCCTACGCCATCTCTTGAAATTTAATAATACAAAATATTTACTAGAAAGTTTTGCGAGGGGATAAAATTTCATTTCTTATACATGTACTTAAAATTAGAAAATGTGATTTTTTAATGCAATAGGAGCCCCACGCGAATTTTAGATTTGCTTGCTGAATGGTACAGCACATGTTAATTTATAAAATTTATGTCCTCCACTTAAGTAAAAGAGAGAGAAAAGAGTTGGAAAATAAAAAAAAAAGAAACAGATGACAAACCTTTATTTTTTTTATCTTCAAGCATTAAAAGTCAGCATGTTAAAAAAAACAGGAAATGGAGGAATTCATTACCTAAATTTCGTTTCAAAAGCTTAAAAACCCTTAACTTGTCTTATAAAACTTATTCAATGCTATAACCTCAAATTCAAAAAGGGTATTTTTTCTCCTAATTTGAATTTTCCATAATATTTCACAATCGTTCATCAATATTTGATTGTATCAGGTTACTTTTGCAGGTTCATTTCATCAAATCAATCTTCATATTTAAACAAAGATATGTTAACAGTAAACACAAATTATCATAAAGCCTAACACATTGAGGAGCTAAAAAGTTTCAGAAGTAACCTGGTAAAGATCTATGTAGTCTGTCTGTAGACGTTTAAGGCTGGCGTCACAGCTCGCCATGATGTGTTTCCGTCCTAACCCGACGTTATTTACATCCTCCCCCATGTCCGCTCTGACCTTAGTGGCTATCACGAACTTTTCTCTTTGTTGTCTAGTAAAAGAAAGAATAAAAACATTTAAAATTTACATAATAAATGCAGGAAAGATATAATAGTGCACTGTTTTGCATGCCGCTATATGTCTTTATATTGCTTTAAAATAGAAAGTAGAATAGAATGACATAAATTCTGTAAAACGATGGCTGATTGAATTTGTGTGAAACTCGGTGTTCAAAGGGTTAATTTAAAAAAAACATTAGTGGGGTCTATCGCTTAACTGTGCATTTTTAAATTTCTATAATTTTAATATTTAAACCCATTTTAAAACATGTTCTCTAAAATTTTCAAACCTGTTTTTATTTAAATCAAATGGTTCGAATTAATGCAGATATTTGACGGTACATTGTATAATACAAAAGTAAACATAATAGTTCTGGTTGTTAGTAATCTCTTCTACAGAGTATCATCACCAATTTTAACGCATTAATCAAAACATATGAATTGTATTTTTAATGTTGAGAAACAGAGATTTCAGGGATATTTAGTTATCAAAAGAAGAGGTAAAATTTTCCTGGACGATCTAATTTGTGTCTTACATAACATTACTATTATTTAAGTAGTGTTCTCATTTTCATAGATTCTTCTGCGTTCAGTTTATATATTTGATTGTAAACTGGTTTCATTCAGTTTCTCTTCTTTCATAGGATTTGTAATTCTAATTTAATATTTGCAATTTTAATTACTCATATGCACAAAAGGTGGAAAAAAGGTTGTCGCAAATATATTTTTTCCTGCACAAAATCAAAATTTTAGAACATAATGTACAAATAAAGACAAAGAAGAATTCAGAGATCTTTGTAAATTCGCGTCTGACAGATTTTTTTTTAACCTATAAATACATTTAATGAGACACGAAATTTTTGTTGCAATCTAGAAAGTATAAAAAGTGAAAATATTTCATTGTTTTCCTCCTGGATTGTATGAACTTAAGTTAAAAAAAAAGAACATATTGACTCATTTTATGGTCCTACTATTTCTGTTCAATTGAATAAAAAATCCTAATTTCTAGAAAAATAATCTTAAAAATTATAAACTTAAGACCATCTTTGAAAATTAAATTTTTTTGCCATTTTCCCGACCGGTAAACTAAAACTGTCCGACTTACGATTTTATTCTTGACTTTCAGGAAACAATTATTTTTGTTTATGCATCATATTCATCAATAACTATTTAAATTCCACATTTATGTGTTTTTGTATTAAACAAAAAAAGAAAAATGTTGCCTGTACCTGCATACCCAATTGTTTTTATCCTTAGTCAAGAGAGAACAAGAAAACTGTTTTTAAAGATGGCCTTCTAATCTTTATTATTAGACTTAACAATTTTTTTTAAACTTTTGAATCAAATTACTTAAAGATTAATTAAAGACGCTGTGTAGGATTTCTTATCAACATTCTGCTTTAATATTGTTTTTGGATATTAAGCTTTGCAACTTTAGCTGTTCTTTTACAAAGACAAACAAGTATATTCTTAACAAACTCCCTTAACTCAAATCTCTCCTTTTAAGAATTTATATTAATTTAACTACCTACATTTTCTTGGCTTTTATACGCACCGCACCAACCACTCGCCAATAACACTCTCAGAAACTCCTTTAGTATAGACATCGGCAGTATCAATAAAATTTCCTCCCAGAGCGGCAAACCGGTCCAGAACCTTATGTGATGCCTCTTTGTCTAACTTCCCTATCTATAAATAGAAAACTTAATATTTATTTTATATGCAATCACTTTTTTCTAAAAATGAATATGATTATATATACATCTTTTATATTCAATGCGCTTTGCAAAGTTTGCCGAGGAGGAAGTCAAAGAAGTAATAATTCTCTATGGAGAATAGGAATGGGTATTTGTTGTAATGGGGCTTTTAAATTATGAAAACTACTATGTTGATGGTCTTCTTCCACAAAGAAAATTTTCCCTATCAATTTCTATATTTTAAAAAAAGAAACTTACTTTAAGGTTTATTTTACAAAATATATTCTTTAAAAAACAATCCTAAGAAACTCAAGCATCTTTTTGATGTCGACTTCAGAGTACTTGTGTGTACAATCAGAATGTTTTCTAACAAAATATTTTTGCAAATAACCAATGACAAGGTAAGTAAATTTACGAGTTCCATTTTTATTTGAAAAAGCAGCTGTCAATGATATCGAAAAGTCTAGACTTTAATTTATCGTGAAGAATGGTTGTGTATAAAGTTGAAAAGTCGTAAGTTTTTAAGCTGTTGATTTTGGTAAACTCTTGTGATTTTCATGGAAATATTTTTTATTTCGTTGTTAGATTCTTGTTTAATGTCCCTCCAGAAAATTTTCACTAATATGGATTCGTCACCATTTGCAGGTGGATAGCTGCAATTTATTTTTACCTATGCTCCACACTCAGGGCTATTGAGCAGTGCAAGCACCTTCTGCGACACGGAACCTCCGTTTATAGGGTCTAATCCGAAGAACCGGTCTCCATGTCCCACAGTCCTACAAAAGATTTACTCCTCGCTTTTCGACGACTCTAGAGCAAACACATCTTACCACTGCGACAAGCATTGAAATGTAATTAGATATGAAAGAATTCATTGTAAATAGGGTGTCCAAAGCCTCCATACTATACCTGAAAATTACCAGATATTTGTTCTTACTCCCCTGTTATCAACTGAACTGAATGACACATTTTTTTAATATGACACAGAGCGTTCAATGATAACGTAATGGGGTACATGAAATTCATTTTAAAAAACCTTATTTTAAAGTAAAGCTCTAAATTAAACCCACCTGTGGTTGACAAAATGTCATAGTACCCAAACAAATATTGGAAACACGAAGTCCCGAGCGGCCGAGGTAATTGTACTCCATGTCCGAAGTTTTCTCAGGACGGTACCACGAACTTTCTCTTTCAAGATCTATGGAGATTTGGGATGTTAGACCCAAGTTTTGTCCTAATCATGTATGTTGAAGGACGCCCTGCATGTAATCCGGGTGATATTGGTTTTTATCTTTTTAGGACAATCATGGTGAACTGTTTGTTCAATAAAGGTATTTCTAAATTAGATAAGTAAACACTATGCTTATCTTTTTTAACGATTTTCGAGTGAATATTTTTAATCTTTATTATTCACATGTAATTTTTTTTCTTTTGTCAGGCTCTAATACAGAATTTCAAGTATATACATAAAACCAATACAAGTAATAAATTGATGATCGAAACATTGTAATTTAATAAAGAATTACAGTCATGCAAGTATATAGTACAGAAGATAAGCTGAAGGCGGATATTCTGATCTGTTAATATGGAATATTTATTTTACACAATGCTAAAAATAGTATGATTTATTGTTTTTGAAGGTCGGTTTAGGTGCCTGATGAGTACAATTTTATATACATTTCGAAAGTGTCTCAATCATAGTACTAGTATTGACCTAATAAGATTTTTTTTTCAATTCAGAAACTCGGTTCGCGCTTGTACAGTGTAAACTTGTTGAGAGAGAGAGAATTTTTTTTTATGCAAAAGCTAAGTGAGAAATTCTCGAATGAGAGGTTAAACAACATACAACCAATCAATAAAACAATTTATGAACAGATGTTTCAATGCTTTTTCATAGTACAATCTGACGGCTTGTCTATGTAAGATCTATTTTGGTATCATGACAATATACAGTTGTTGACGGGGGTAAAGGGAAAGAGTCGATCTGTTGGTCCAGAGTGCAAGCTGTTGCCCAAGGTTGGTGGCCACAGGAAACAGTTTGCACTACGGTCCAACAAGACGACTTTTCTCCGAGACACCTGTCAGCAACTGTTTATTATACTCCTTTGTCGAATAAGATCTCAGTTTGGCGCCATTTGTCGTCTGCAGGCAACAGTCTTTTTCAACAGTCAATTTTAACAGTTCCTGGACCAACAGTAGGGAAAACAGTCGAACTGTTGGACTTTTTCAAGTAAAAAATGATATAGAGACTGTTTAGTAAGGGTATAACAAGTCTCTATTTTGCCGAATTGATTCAACTGGAAAGTAATGTTTTGAATTGATGTTAAGGGGGTCTAAACTTATTTTCGCAGTTACAAAGGTCTTCATAGTGACCTTTATTTCAAACTTTTTGACAACAGATTCCTCCGATTAAATGATGGACACGGAGAGATTCTAGGATAAATACTTCTCCAGGGCACCTGATATTACCTCCGAATATACTAGGGTCCCTTTTTATGGTTTCAATTTTTCGTATCATAGTTAATATACGTACTATGGCTAATTTTCACATTATTTTTATTTATAAGATTTTATAATGACGTGTCTTCTAAATCTCTAAATTTTCTTATACAGATCTATGAAGCTCGCCTTTTCATTTTTACCATAAATTGATAACTATGAGTAACAGAAATACATAGAGAACTTCGGCTCCCGATAAGAGCTATTTATTTGTTCATATATCCCATTATACTGTAAAGTACATTAATTTTTGTTATGTACTCTATTTATCGTTTTTCACAATAAGTGACTTCCATTACATCAAGTACAAAATGTCTCGTGTGTATATTTTCGAATAGAGCAAACTCAGAAAGGCTAAATCAGATATATATGTACGCTAACTTGTTAAAAAATGTCTGCAGTTACTGTACACGCCAAATAATTAATTCACCTACAGTTTATGTAAAGATGTAGGTTTTTAAAATTTGTTCTCAACATATGGGCGAGGATAGAAGGAATTCACTCTGCTGATGTTCATGCGATTTAACATCTCGTATGGGTACGGAGTTTCTGGTTTGGATAGGGTGTCGAGCTCCTCCATCTATAAATAAAAAAAGGGCATTTTAAGTACTGATATATAAAAAGTAATCATGTATATAGCTCCTATCGTGCATTGTACCGCGTTGCCAAGGCTTCCAAAGTGTATAAGAGAATTGAATTAAAATTTTTGATAAATTTCATAATTATAAGAATATTACATTAAATATACTAAACATTCAATAAAAGAATGGTGAGAAAAAAATATATATGCTCTTCTTCAACAGATTTAAACTGAAGACTTCCGTTTATTATGGGAACCAACTTTACCTCTTCTTTTGAAAGTTTCCAGTTAATAGCCGCGACATTGTCTTCTAGGTGCTCAATAGAGTTGGCTCCAATGATGACAGAGGGAACCACATCCTTCTGAAGTAACCACCGGAGAGCCACCTGTGGTATGGACTTACCTGAAGAAGAATTTACATTGTTTTCTATTTCATAAATCCATTCGATACGAGTACTTAAAGTATGTTTTTTAATACTTGTGAAGATTTATCCTAAACAGATAACAGTCTAGGGGGAATTAAATGGAAAATTTCAACAAATATCGATCAACAACTCTGAACTGTTGATCGGCCATACAATTGAACCAATACATACACATGTATGATTTAAAAATGTTATCAGTGTGACAATTTGTTCTTTTAACAGCGTTCATTGACTTATATTTTCACTCCATAAATAACCAATATCTGTTTCTTAAATGATTGAATTTCATTTTTTTTGTTCGCACAGTGAATAATTCTTCAATAAAAAAGAACAGATAATTCCTTAATATAAACTTAATTAAAGAATGTTGTTTGAACATTTTCGACAGTACCATGTTCTTTGGCAATTTTCTCCATGGCATCCATTAGCTTCCAGAAGCTTTCGTTATTGTCATACTGACCCCAAGCCGGAGCACTCTGCATTGCTTTGGACTCGTCCTGGGCAACGAGTCCGATTCTCCCAGCTGCTGGGGGTGGTCGTTCCCCACGCTTGTATTTACCCGTCAGCATTCCACTGTGAGAAGAATTTTATACAGTTCATTCATTTGTACTTAAAGAATCTGAATATACTGTCATTCGTGATTGAGAAGTCTGGATTTGATTCTGGTTTTCCGTGCTGCAAAAAACTTCAGGCAGAGACGTAAACATAGGTTATGAGTGTTCTTTCGCCAAGCACCCAGCGCTTACAAGTAAAAGACAGTTTAGGGGGAGACCTTAAAATCCTAGATCGTCAACATACAATCAATTAAATTGTTACGCCAATGTGCGTCCAAGAAGCGAGGTGAAGGTTCTGAACAGAGATCCAGCCATACTAAGACAACATAATTGCTTGGCAAAATCTTTGGTTTAATACAGATCGTGAGATAAAAAGTTGTAATAATAGACGAAAGATGATATAACTCTAGTTCTTAGAAAAAAGGTTGCTATAAAACATATAGTAATACCCTTTTAATGGACTCCACGGTAACACACCAAGACCCTCATTCTTACACACTTGAAATTCCTCAAACTCCGGATGCCGACAAAGTAAACTATATTGTTGCTGTTACAATTATAGTAAAAAACGATATTTGTTTTCTTTCAAACACAAATATACAATAGCATTGATAATCATTCTTCTTATTCGGTATCTTTCCTTCTAAAAGGTTTTTGTATTGTAAATTTTTTACACAAAAGGAGAATGTTAGATATTTTAGTAATTTAAATGATAAATATTAATACTTCGATTTCTTTCAAGAAAAGGGAAATCAAGAAATTTGTGCTTTGAATGTCTTGTTTGTTTCCACCATACCTACCTGGAGACTGATGATTGGCGGGTAATTCTCAGACTTGCAGAGATCCACGACCTTCTGAAGCTGCCAGCCACAAAGATTAGACACACCAATATATCGCACCTTACCGGAAGTGACCAAATCGTTGAGCGCCCTTAACCACTCCTCAGGTGGAGTAGCATTGTCCCAAACGTGCACCTGTTGAACAAGAATCGTAAAAAATATCTATCACCTTTTGCTGAAATTATTTTAAATCTCATTCTCAATTAAAAAAAACTAAAAAAGAATGGTTGAATTCTACATATGAAATCAATACATGTATTAAGTAATTCAAGATAATTATTCCTTATGTCAGCCATCGTAGAATTCATATCCATGCTCAGGTAAAAGTCTAAATTGTCGTGTGTGACTTTCAAATGAATTGTTTTCGTCAATCAATCTTCATCCTTAATTACAGATTATTAAACTATAGACTATTAGCATAGTACTAAGTACGATAAGCTCTAAATCGTTGAGGAGCAATTATGAAGAAACCTGATAGAGATCTATGTAATCCGTTTGTAGACGTTTAAGGCTGGCGTCACAGCTCGCCATGATGTGCTTCCTTCCTAACCCGACGTTATTTACATCATCTCCCATGTCCCCTCTGACCTTCGTGGCTATCACGAATTTTTCCCTTTCTTGTCTAGGAAAAAAAATAATGAAAACAATTTAATTTTTAACTAACAAGTGTAGGACAGGTAGATGTATAAAATGCACCGCTTTTAATTCCGATACAATTTAATAAACAGTGTTTGTCTAGTGAAGTACATTCTAGAGAGATGGATAATATTGTTTACCTGAAACCTAATATCTCCAAAATTTATTTTTTACATAAATAAAATATGTGGGTTTGTCGTTTGGACCCGAAGCTTAACGTTAAAATCAAGCATTCTAAATGTAATTTTATCTCAGAAAAATAAATTTCATAAATGATTACTGTAAACTGATTTTTTGTTACATGTAATTGTTTTCTATTCCTTACATACAGTGTAGGAAATGGGATAGTACTTATTTTGCAGATTTGTTTAATTGATTTACACTGCACTAATATGAAAAAGGAAAATACTTTTGTGTTTATATATATAATATAAATCAAAGATTTGGAGTGTAATACGTAAAGAAAAAGTAGAACTTAAGAACCATATGAATTTATGTCAAAATTTCTTGTTTCTTTTTAATTATTAAATTTTCTTCAGAAGATACATTAATTTTCATTGCCTTTTTGAAATTACATGATCTTAGGTTAATAGGAAAAAAGGAAATAAAAGTATACTTGTCTTTATCTTATTTCTATTCAACTTGATAAGAAACCTTATTTAAAGAAAAATAAGCACTCCAAAAGAATTCTATCATTATAACATGTATAATCTTTACGATATATTCAAATTAATTTTATCCTCTTTAAAGTTAAGTGACTCATTGCAATTGTTCAGATAGAATTTTCTATGCTGTGTAGGATTTCTAAATAAAATTCTTGATTAATATTGTCTCTGTATCAGTTACGCCATTTTAGTAGTTATTTTGCAATTAATGCATACAAACAGGAAGATTCCAAACAAACTTAATCCAAAACGAAAAATTTTTTATTCCGAATTTATAATAGTTTAAACATTCTCTCAGCTATAATACGCACCGAACCAACCACTCGCCAATGATACTCTCAGAAACTCCTTTAGAATAGACATTGGCTGTATCAATAAAATTTCCTCCCAGGGCGGCAAACCTGTCCAGAACCTTATGTGATGCCTCTTTGTCTAACTTCCCTATCTATAAATAGAACAAAACAAAAAAAAACTAAATATTGTCTTCCTTTTTATGAAGACAAGGTTTGTCTAAATGAAAATTATTAAATACATGTACATGTATATCATTTTCAGTAAGTGTAATTTGCAATTATAAAATAATATAATTTTATGTATAAAAATACTATGCAGTTTTTTTCCGAATTGATGAGAATGTTTGATTAAACCGCTGAAGATTTATCCATAAGAATTAGTTTTATTATTATTGAGATAATTTTAGGGGGTAAAAAAAAAAGAGAAAAAGTTTAAAGTATATGTAAGAGAAAAAATTAAAATATATTTTTATCACATTATATGAAAAGGAATCTTATCCCTTGATTTATTCATTTCTGAATAGGCTAACTGGGTGTGAAACAATTTACTGTATGTAGACTGGGCAAGGCCTCCATACTTTTAAAAACCTGAATCACGATATTTTGTTCATATCTTCGTCTATTTTAACTGATTGTCATTGTCAATTCTTCTAATGACACAGAATGCAAAATGAAAATATGAAGGGATACATGGAAATAAGAAAAAAAAATTGAAGCAATTCCTACCTGTGGATGGCCGAACGTCATAGTCCCTAAACAAATATTGGAAACACGAAGTCCCGAGCGGCCGAGGTAATTATATTCCATGTCGGACGTTTCTACGAATTCTACCGACTTTCTTTTACAAGATTTATGGAGACTTTATGACTGTTAGACACAGTATTTTGTCCTGATCATGAATATGTAAGGTGCTCTAAAATAATCCTGGTGTTATGATTTGTTTTTATCTTTTTAGGACAATAAGGCGGCCCATTCGTTTAATAAGGGTATTGTTCAGTTACCGTTGTATGGTCTATGCCTATCAAGTTTTGTGTGTTTTAAAATTTTCCATAGAAAATTTTAAGTGCCGGATATTTACTAGAATTAGAATTTAAATATCAATGTTAATTTTTTGTGATCTTAAGATAAATATTTCATCATAGTATATAAGTTAGACAGTGCCGCCATTTTAATGTTATATGATTCATTCTTTCTTTACGTACACCAACAAGGAATAAAAACCTAGTTAAACAAAGTAATATGGCCAAAGCGTTTTGATAAAAAGTTTTTTAATTTTTGCATTATTTGCCGTGATAAATTTATTAAGATAATGTGTTGCCTTTTTTAATTTTTAAAATATACAACAAAACGATGAATTGTGTTCAATGCTATGCCCCTGTAATTGAAGATTCTGGGATATATAGTTTTTGCTCTGTCCGTCTGTCTGTCTATTCGTCTCTATTCGTCCACAAAAACTTAAACTTGCTCATAACTTTTTTTGGGATGAATTTTGGCTTTCATACTTCACAGTTGTATTCTTTGTGACAAGACCTTTCTTTGGTTACCACCAAATTTGACCTCTCGACCTTACATGGAGTTTGAACAACTTTTACAAGAAATTATCACACTTAAACATTGGCCATAACTCCTCTAAACAATTGTGCTAGGGCTTTCAACCTTCACATGTGTATTCATCGTGACAAGACCTCTCAGTGGGTATAAATATTCTTGACCTTAGAGTTAAACCCACTTTTTCAAAACTTTATTTTAGCCGAAGCCGTACCTTTTGAATAGTTAGAACTAGGGCTTTTAAATTACACAGATGTATTACTTTTAACAAGTCCTTCCTTTCGGTGCCTTTCCCTTGACCTTCCCTTGACCTTCGGAGATTGACGTTCATTTGAGAAAATTTTACCCTCTCCATAAGCTGCCATACGGGGACGTCAGTATTTCACAAACACATCCTATTTTTCCCATTTAATCATTAGATCAACTCTGAAAGAGTACCGGTATGACCAGGAATCTAACATACGATATTGACTCATGCTCTTATATGAATAATATTAACTAAATGCTACTTTTTCCTTTACCATGGGCTTTTACTGTTGTGTTTGCGAAGCTTTCTTTTTGTAGCTAGTATTGAAAAACATTCTTGAATTAGACTCACTTCAATCTTATCAGAACTCATAATTTAAAAAAGATCAAGAAGAGAACAGTATCGTGCTTCTTATAATAAATTTTAAATTGCATTGATATATACACGAAAATGAAATATATAGGTGACATCTGATTCTAGTTTAACAAAGAAAAATATTAATTTCAAGTTTAAATGGTTCAATCTCTCTTTTTCAATCCCAAGTTTATTCCTCAATTTTATTTTTTTTAAAGTCATTTACTAATTTCTTTGATTGTAGAATTTAATCGATGTCTATTTATGATTACTAGTCGGGGTTCCACATAATATATTGCTATTTCGAATTGGAAATCGTGACTCTGTTTGAAAAAATCTTTCTTTCATTATTTTTCATTTGTTTGGCACCGTGGGTGATTTTCTTAGTAAGGTAAGGATATTCTGTTACCCTGTACATCGTATATCATGAAATCGCTTTTTGATGGAAGAAGAAAATCCAGTTTTAAATGTTTTTATGCAAATTTTGTTTTGATTGACAACAAATAGATGCAATGAAAATTGCTAAATTCGAGTTGAATCTTGCAGGTAAATCAGATCAAAAAACAAATATTGCTTAGTTTTGTTTATATAAAATAATTTAAAAGCTAACCTCTAACAAACTAGCAAGAGCTAACCTCTAGCAAAAACGCTTGGTGGATGAAGCATACTGGGTAAATAGCGATAGTCTTTGTGCTGGCATTTCAAATATATTGTTGAAAACAATTTTATCTGAATTTATTTTAAGATGTTCTATAATATTAAGCAGAAGCAATTGTCTAGTAAGAATATTTTTTTAAGAACTACAAAAGGAACAAGCAAATTTTAAAAAAATTGCCATCCTCCGCTATCGTTGTGTTTATGGGTGAGATGTCATTATTTATGGCTAATTGTGTCAAACATGAACACCCTACCATATGTCATTCAAAAGCTGTCACCAAAGTTCTTTTTTCAAACTCTTTTACGATTACATGTAACAATGGAGCAAACATGAAAAAAAAATCCTAGACCTTTAAAAAATGAAGTGTTACATATCCATTCATATTTCAGATTATGGTCTAATATTTTGCTTCGTTGAAAGGAAATCAATTTGAGAAAATAGGTATTCCTTATTGAAAGTGACAAAAACGATGACGTTGTAGAACGTCACGGAGCAGCAGATAACGATGGTATTTGAGTAACAGAGACTCTGTATCGGTCGAGGTTTAACTGTAATTAAAAAGCTGAACAAAAACTTTAAAAAGTTACAACGTCATTAAACGACATAGACGCTTCAGAGCTGCTGATCTTATGAAAGTACAGTTAAGTGATAATAAATTAAAGGAAAAAATGACAAAGGAATTCATATAAAGAGAACAACTGTTAGAAAAATAAATGTCAAGTGATATAAATGGTTTTTAATGAGTGGGTATTGGACTATATTATTTGACATGTATTGGGATAGTATTTTTGAGAAATTCGTGACGCTATGTTTTTGAAGCTACATTGCCGTTGAGTGTGCTCCTTAGATACAAACTATGTTAATTTTAAAATTATGTAAATTTATTTCTATTAGATCGAATGGAATGGAACTTTACACATCAAGAAAACAAATATTGTTGTATATGATATTGTGCTTATTTTAAATTCCTTGAGAGTAGTATAACGAAGATTGACATCGTCCATGAACTTTTCGAACAACCCTCGCAGTTATGAGAAAAAACTAACATTTTGAAAAGAAGGTCAAACGTCAATGATCACTGTTCAATGACCCTGAGTGCCAAGTAAAGGACTTATGTCTAAATTTGAAGCTATTTATCAGTGCATGGTGACGTCTCTACAAGCATAAAAAAAATCTCACCCGAGATGTAAACAATTAATCAATCAAAAGGCACGAATATATTCGTAAATGACCTTGATTGGACTTGGAAAATATTCATGATATATACATGTTTCATGTTTCATGTATGATAAAGATTTTTTGTGCGCCGATCTGATATGTGACATGGGTTTTCAGACCAGTCCTGTCGTTGATATGAAGTGTTAATATACAAGTCGGGACAACTCACCCATGCAAATTGGATATAATAGTCCTTTTGGGATAAAATATCCCAGATGGGATATAATTTACAGTGCAATTTTTTTTACATTAAGTATCATAAATCCGCATCAAGATACAAATATAAATTTTGGTAAAAAATGTTTTTCTTTATGCTCATTGTTTAGGAGTTTGATCCCTCGGAAGTTCCTTAGTTAACTTTTTAAAAACTCTTAACAAACTGTAGGGTTGCAGAAAAACTTGCAAAACCAGAAGTTATTATATTATTACATGTAGAAGCTATTACATTCCATTTGGGCGAGTGATCCCAACCTGTTATATTGTGACTTCAGTCGTATTGCATAGTGCGTGCATGTCAATCAATATGTTTTATTTCATAGCAGATTCATGCATATGGCCTGTTCAAAAATGAAATGTCTTTGTCCAAGGTTTGAAAAAAAGAAGTGAAGTTGAATCAAACTCTTTTACAATAAACAGAATCAGGTCGATGTATAAATAAGTTATGAAGTCATGATGTCCGAAAAAGGAAAAATGACAGAAATCTCGATTATTGACTAATACCTTCATTGTGAATTCTTTTGCCATTCTTTACGTTAATGTGAAATTCACTTACCGATTCATTTCCTTTATCCCCTGAACTGAATAGCTATTAGTGAGCGGCACTAAAGACTCAAAGCGCTGTGGCGGAAGTAGATCCATGCAATGCGACATAAAAATCTTCTCAATTTCCGCTCGTACATATAGCATCGACGCAGTGGAAAGCCAGCAATATCAATTGGACCTGGTATAAACTCTTAAACGTGAGTCTCTTATGCTTATACATTCAGTTTGTACATCATACTTCTTATTCATTAATAGTGTTATAAGCTTGTAAATTATATTTCATTCACCAATGAAACTTAATTTTTTACGAACATCAAAAAAAAGAAGAAACTTTTCTCTTAACCTAGTTTTGTATTAAAGCGTGTTTGGGTCATTGAAATAATGAGATAATTTTTGTACTAGGGTTAGGATAATATCAGATATTAACGTGTAATGTACAATTTTAGTATGCAATTAACTAGCAATATTGGCAATACTTTTTGCACGACATTGCGCAAAATTGCTCCACATTTATAGTGAATTGGGACATCTGCATCATGTGAGACAGCAAGTTTTACACTTCTTTGTTAATCTATTAATCTATGCAATGCAATAGTTTTTCTAGTAATATTTCCATGAATTTAGAGGTTTTATTACATATACTTTTTTAAAATAAAAAAAATAATCCTAGAATCACTGATTTAAATATTTGTTTTCATTTTGATTTCATTCCTGTACATTATTTGTCACGAGTGAAAACCGTGACTTTAAAGCAAATGTGAGCTGCATTTTTGAAAATTTTATTTTGCTGTTAAAATGTACTATTAATATAAAGAATGGAGGCGTACAGTGCGAAGACAATTCCCCGCTCTGAGAAAAGACATTTCTCAATTCTTAAAGTCATATTTTTCAAAATTATATTGTTTATATCATCGATTACACATTTAATTCTGTATTTCGTTGTTTTTATATATTATCAATAATTTATTTTTCACCCATATTTTTAAGATATGTGAAAACAATGAAGAAAAAGCTTCACGTATGATTCGAACTCTCTTTCCATAGCACAGGGTTTGGTCCAAGACCGACTGCTTTAACCACTACGCTACAAAGTATATATGCATTATCGACGTCCGTCAGTGTGATTTAAATGAACGGGTTTGTTGAAGCGTATATTTTTTCA